CTGAGATTAGGCCTATACCATCCTAGCTAGTCTAGGCCTAGAGTAGGATAAGGCTAACGCGACATGTGGACGTTGGTACATGTAGGTTAGTCTACAAATGTCGCCTAAAGTAATTGATTTTACCCGGCAGAACGAAAGAAGGAAACTCCGCTTTTCAGTCGTCTTAGGCCCTTGTTTTTTGACAAACAATGAACTTTCAGAGGTCAAATTGCTGTCAAGAATATGAATTGGCTGCTTCGCAGCAATAACCTAGCCCTTGATAAGAAGCATGCGATAGTAATCCCTGACGTCTAGCTATGAACTTGCTTCTCTCGCCACAGTAACACTCAAACCGTGCTATTTAAGGTTGCCACAGTAACAACACTCAAACCATGCTACTTAAGGTTGCCACAGTAACAACACTCAAACCGTGCTACTTAAGGTTGCCACAGTAACAACACTCAAACCATGCTACTTAAGGTTGCCACTGTAACAACACTCAAACCATGCTACTTAAGGTTCCATCTTGAATAGGTATTCACTTCTAATTTCCAAGTTTTTTCACATCTAAAAAAATACCAAATATAGATTATCTTGATAGTCTTTCTGGGTTAGGCACTTTGAAATAGGTTTTCAAAAATGGGTTATCACCTAAAGAGTTTGGATATGAAGGGAATAGGTGTTTATACACTACAAAGTAAATATAACCTATGATAAACTTTACATCCTGATAATTATATAAAATTTGATATCTTCAGACAAAGATCTATTTGACAACCTGGGCTATGGTCAAAGTACCAAGCAATGGACAGCACTCACCCTTGTAAAAATCCAAACTCTGCTCTAACAAAAATGAAAACCAAAATTTAATTTTTTTTTGTTGGGGGCGAGGCATTTTTTTACCTTGCTTAGCAAACCACCGACCATCAATAATGAATGGCGATTTCTATCACGAAAAAATGGAACTTTAAAAAAAATAAAATAAAATTTGTGACCCAAGCTTATAAAAGGCTGTAAACTCGCTGTATTAAGAAATAAGCCTCAATACCCAGAATAGGGCGTAGAGTGTGAATTTTTTGTGAATTGGGTTTTTGTGTAATAAATAAAGTATAAGTTTTAATCTTACTATTCCTGAAGTTTGAGTTCAAAATTCCAACTGTAAAAGGTAAAATTTAGCCATTTTCGAATGGGAGTTACTGAATAACAAATAGAACTTGCCGAAAATAAATGCATTTTTCTCAAAACTTGATTTGAGAAAGTTGATAAGATTATAATTATGCAAACGGTCATAACTTTGCTTTCAGACACCCTATTAAGTTCATTTAACTGTCATTTTAAAGTAAATGGTATGTTCTATGCCATAATAACAAAAACTCATTTTGGCCTGAGGGTGAGTTTACAGCCCTTTTATGATCGTGGGTCACATTTTTTATTTAATTATTAGGTCCCTCAAACCTTAACAATTTAAAGCATTTATCAATCTCATACTACACTGTTTACATTCATCAATAAAATTTTATTTTTATTTTATCCTCTGCCTGGATGCTTTTGGCAAAATAATTTTGCTAGATAAAAAAACAAAATTCATTTTTTTTCTGCACTCCTCTGAGGACCTTACAAAAATAAGTTTGCTAAAACAAGGTATTAAAAAAGTCTCGCCTAAAGAGGTAACCATTTTTTCTGTTAAAATGATAATCGATAAAATGTATGAAACTTAAAGAAACTGTTGTTATAACTTTTTGGTAAGATCAAATTAATGTCTTTCAACATCTTCTTGAAAATTTATTGAAGTAAGGGCACTTTTTATAATTACTAGAGGCCTAGGGCAGGTATTGTACACTACTCTACACTACACTTTACTTCGAGGTAAATAAAGGCTTGCTAAAAGGATTGTCAAGGCTGTAACCAATCAAAAGACAAAAGTATGAATGACAAAGGACCTGGTTATACCTATGGTACTGAATTATTAAGCAGATTTGATGAAAATGTCTCACATATATGGGCTTAATGCATTTGAATTGCAACTTTTTACAAGTTGGTGTAAAGGTGGCTATGCATCTTCCAAGCTAGTATGGCATATTCCTCAATGCACCCCTTTCAAAAACTGGGATAACATTACATTACTCATGCATTTCTCCCTGTAGGAGTAAGGCAAATACCATGCATCCATTTACAAGTTGTAAGGATAAGTCAAGCCCCTTGCATCCTATTCACAAAGTATATAAAGGCAATCCCACTGTCTGTTCGACAATCTAGACCCATTAGAAATCCATTGTAAGTTTGACACTTTTAATTTATTTAAGTATCTAATCACCAATTTATATATGTATGTCTGACATATGTGTACTATATGTTGATTTGAGGTGAGAAGAATGAGCGGTAATGGCAAATGCGCTACAACCCACAGCCATTATTAATATCAGTGCTGATTCAAATGGTGGAACAAAGTTTTCTTGGATGAGGACTCTAAACCGTAGGCCCAGTGTACACAATTGACTTGAACCCAGTACACCCTTCGAGAAGAGGTGATCCTTGGGTGAGAATAATTGAAAAAGTAAGTTGTTGAATAAGTTACTCCAAGTCTGTGCGCATTTCAGAGAAGTAAAAGCTGCAAGTCACAGGTAATTTCCTACCCTTCCACTTGATTGTTGTCTTTTTTTTTTTAAAGTTAAATCTAGACTTTGTGGACTCAGGCAAACATACTAAAAGCCTAGATATGATTAACAATGGGTAAGGCAAGCCAGATTTATTCCTTCTACAAGATACAGAGGTAAGGCAATCTAATAAGATATGACAAGACCTTTAGAAAGGATTTCTGCTGCAGCTTTTTTATACATTGCTTTCTGAGAACTCCTGTCATGGACGAGGATTTTGAATAAATTGAAAGTTAGTGGTAGTAATGGTTATGATGATAAAGAAGTGATGATTTATTTAATGATTTAAATATAATAGTGATGATATTTTTTTTTTATATTTCATTTTATCCAAAAGTGGACACAAGACCCTACATTGAAGGCAGACATCTTAACCAACAAGCTATTCAACTTAATGAGCATAATACCTGTAGTGATGATGATGATTTAGAATATTAACCAGAACCCTGCGGGTGTGTACGTTTGTACGTAAACATAGTTTAGAGGGATTTGTGGTCCAGTAATGGTTTCTAATGTTTTTACATACACCTACACCCTCATACAGGTCCATCCATCAAATGCTGTATATTTACATACCTGCCAACATTCGAATTCAAAAATAGAGACGCTATTCATTGATGACAAACAATTGTAAGAATTAAGATGGCAATTATCCTAATTCCTGTACAGTTGCTTCAAACAAAACAAGAGTTACTCAATTTCAAGTGTACTGTTTATTTACCTCACAACCAACACAAATATTTAAGTTACATTTTAATCAGTAGGCCTACAGTTCACCATGAAGGGCAGAGCATGCTTGGGCTAATCTCATTAGAGTCATAACGTCAATATTTATTCGAATGTAGGGGTGGTGCCAGGATTTGCCCGACGTGGTGGGGGGAGGGATATGCCCTGACGAGGGATCAGATTTCCCTGACGAAAGCTACAATTTAAGGGTCCCAAATTAGGCTCATTTAATTGATTTTAGAGTCTACTAATATGTAGAAAATACATATAATTTTTTTTCTCCCCGACGAATTGTGCTCTTTCTCCCCGATGGGGGGGGGGGGAAGCCCTCTCCGACAGGGCGACCCTGCACCACCCACTGGGGCCACCCCTGTTCGAATGACAATTGAGCCTAATAATCTCTGTTCAACATTTCCAGCTTGTGTGTCATTAAAGCACTTTAAGTTTTTGTTGTCATGCTTGCTCGAAGCTTGGTCTTGTTTTTTCAACAATAGAGAAAACTCTCACAGTCACTACTCTCACAGTTCCTTGGATAGAACCCCACCCCGACTTTACGCCCAACTTTGCGTACAAGAATTTCCACGGGTGTAAAGTCCCAGGCAAGGGTCTGAGAATTGGGTAAGTCGGCCTAGGTCGGTAAATTTAACAAATGCTCAAAAAATAAAAGAATTGTCTCCGAATTCTGCAGCTCACTAACTGTGGCTAAAGATAGACAACACCGCGGTCCGTCCCTGAAAAGACCTGCCCAGTGGGCTGATTGGATCGTTAATTCACAGCGTGAAGACTCGCACGTTTTCACAGAGATTCGCTGCTAAAAATAACTTGTTACATTATGCAAGACTGATTTCTTCGCCCGAATATTGTTTTGATAGGCTATTGAATGGTAGGTGAAAAACGATCGTCATTTTCGTCTGTTCACACACTAGGCCTAGGGAATCCCCGGGTATAATTCCACCCCCCGAAATTGGGACAGTTTCGTGGGATGGGGATGGCAGGGACGTATCCAGGGAGCCGCGGCTCCCCCCCCCCTTTGTACACAGTGTAAAATGTTTAAAGCTTTTTTTTTTGAGCCAATACAAATTATATCCTGGGACCACTCAAAATGAATACTTCTAAAATACGTAAAAATGCATCATCACATACTGTAGCCTGTTACAAGGTTCTCCTCACCTGGGACTGTCCATCACATGCTGTATATAGACTTGTCAATTGAAACCTCCCCCATCACCAATGCCAGTCCATCACATGCTGTATATTTATGTGTCTATAATTTTCCCCCACCCCAGGTCCGAATTTCAAATGCTGTATATTTATGTCCATCGCCCAATGACAATCTATTACATGCTGTATATTTGTGTGTCCATAACTTCCACCACCCCCAGGTCCGAATATCAGATACTGTATACATATCCATTATTTTCCAAAACATCATAGACCACCCAAGGACCATCACATTATGTCCCACCCCCAATGTCACTTCATCACATGCTGTATATGTGTCCAATTTTCCCCACCCCAGGTCTGAATATCAGATGCCGTACATTTATGGCAATTGTTTTCCCAAATACAGTTCCCCAATAATGTGACAGTCCATCACATGCTGTAAATTTGTGTGTCCATTATTTTAAGGTTCTCCCCCACCCGGTACTGTCCATCAGATGCTGTATTTTCTAACCATTATTTTCCCAAACATCATTTGATGAAGCTATGCTGTAAATTTAGGTGTCCATAATTTTAAGGTGCTCCCCCACCCGGGAATGTCCATCAGATGCTGTATTTTCTGACCATTATTTTCCCAAACATCATTTGATGAACTCCCGTCCCCCCGCCAACCCTCAGGTTCGTCTGTCCATCACATGCTGTCCCCGCCAACCCTTAGGTTCATCCGTCCATCACATGCTGCATATTTATGTGTCCAGAATTTTTAACCATCATTTCTTGGAAAATAATTCCACAAATGTTGATTTTTATTGCTTGACGGTAGGCTGGTGGTAGGCCAAAAAACCTACTTTACGTAACGGTATAGTATATCAGATGTGTCTAGGCCTACACCAGGTCCGACGGTGTCGCCCAAAGAGAAGCTTACATTACGTATGTGTCTAGGCCTAGGTACACCAGATCCGTAAATCTTAGCCGTTAAAGTATACTAAAACTCTAATAGAACACACAGAACACCTTCAAATAATAGCACAAGTGGCCGATATGCCACAACTCAGCTTGCTCAATGTTTACTGACAGTCGCGAAAACAACATAAAGAACTTTTCTAGGCAGCTCGCGACAGAAACAAAATGTCGGGAAAGTTTGACCCAACGCATGCGCAAATCATATTTTCGACTAAAAAACGACTCAAAACTGGTGGTAGGGGGTATATGTTTTATCGTCTACAGCTTACATTTTATATCTAACCGAAAAAACAAACATTTCTTGCACAATTGCATGTCAACCAGCAACTATCGAACACAATGTATACCTGCCACGATGCACCGTTTCGGAGCCTATTTGTTTACAAATATGCTGACCTCTTTTGGTTGCACATCTCATACACACATTTTACATGTGAACCATTACATTAGTTCCATGTGACCTAAGGTCACAAAGGAACTAATAATAATGGCAGTTTAATGAAGATTCATCTATCCAGGATTTTAAATGATAATGATAAAATTAATGATAATATTTATAATGATAGTGCGTATATTGAACTAATGAAAATAATTTACTACCATACCTTTAAATCCAGATGGCATACTTTGTTTCTATGGATATAATGACAGGCTTCTAATAACTGAAGTGTAAAATTAGCTGCCTCCTCCTCAGATACATGATCTTTCTCAGCAAGGTAATGAAACAACTCTCCTCCAGATACCCTACATAACAAGAAACAAGAAACTTAATTGTGCCCTGTAAAGATACTGTATGAATAAGGGCAAGAAATAATTGCTTTTTAAAATAATCAATTATTATTTTTTAATTTAAATTATTAATTTAATTATTTTTATAATAACAAGATACAACAAACTTAATTGTGCCTGTCTCTTATACACATCTAGATGTGTATAAGAGACAGGAACTAGGCCGTTCCACTAGGCCCACTATTTTAGCCTCTTTTGCTCTAGCATTTGATAGGAATGTACCTATTTACCACTGCTACTATAGAAGGGGGTACTAGCTGTTGTAGTACATTTGATAACAAACATACAAGAAGCTCACAGTTAGTTACAGACGTAGCCTACATCCCATAAATCGGTAAGATTTCATAGGCCTGCCGTAGGTAAACATATATAAAGAACAGAACAGTACAGTAAAGGTAATCTAATAGAATACTCGAGCGTCACGACATTGCGAAGTGCCTGCTCTTGTTCGTATATCAAACTTGAGTCGAATCAATCCGAGACGACCCGAATGGAGTTTCATGCAAATGTTTCGTACGGAAAAAAAAATCGCGCCCTGGCCTATGCTAGCTCGATTCGGAGAGGACTCTTACCTACTCGTAGCAGC